TAAACATTATAAGAAATGTGACATTCTTTATGAGACCATTATTTAAATAAAAAGCCATAAATCAAGAAGTATTCATACAATAATAAATATTTTAGTACATTCTCTTGAAAATAACACGAATAATAGATTCAAAAAGTTTTATAGAAATATATTTGTAACATTTTGAGTTATCAGACTCGCCATGATAGATTTTGAGCAATTTAAATTCCCAATTCCGGTAGATCAAAGACCTTCTCCTGGTTTTTCTAACTTTATAAAATTGATAGTAACTTGGCCTCTAGGTAGCGTAGAAAATAAACAAAGTATGTTTTGTAAGGCCAAAAGATATCTCTGATCAGTAAAGTAAAAAACAAAAATATGTCTTGATCAAATTTGGTTATTTTAAACGTGTCCGGATAACTTAAATTATTAAAAAACAGGAATGGTTTAAAAATTCTTTTTCTCTTTCTAATGTTGAAATACTCCTTACAACATAAAGCTATAATATGTTCTAATATATACCTAACATAAAGCTGATATATTCGATGAGCTAATATATTCTATTTTAAACATACGTATGTGCTTCTAGAAGCTGATGTTTAATAAATAAGAAAACGGTTATATTTCAAAAATAAAAGCTAAGAAACGATATTATCGAAAAGTTTCTATCATTTATCATAAGTTTAATATTTACTTTGTCTTTTTCGATTCTGTGGAACTTGGAGTCATACTTTTTCCAGTTAAAAAATTTGGATATTTAGTTTGATTTATATAATTTTTAAAAATCTAAATATATGCCATTTTTAGTTTTTTAACTCATTATATGAATGATACCAAGCAAAGGAATAATGCAATCGAAGCAATATTAAGTTTAATGAGTTTTTGAAAATTTAGAAATAAAGATTTAAAATGAAAAATTTTTCATCGTAAAATATTATATATATAATTTGTGCGACTGTTATACATTTTACTCTGCTGCCCAACTAATAAATCGGAACAAAATCAATATTAAAGCTGAACTTTAAATTTTTGTAAATTCGCGAAATTTTTTTTTTTAAATTCTTTGGTATACAGGTTTTTTCTTTCTTTTATAAATAAAGAGTTTAAAATATTCCGTTAGAATTGAAAATTTGTTATTTATACTTATAATATAAACAACACAGTTTATACATTATACATATTTTTTATTTTCTTAATCTATCACGAGTTCGTCAAAAATCCTTATTTATAGACTTTTTGTACGCAATAGTAACTTAAGCCAACTCAGAGTCCATTTTCGACTAATTGATTCTTTAAATACTATCTGTATGACGAATTATTTTTATTTGTAATATTTCATGTGTCTCGATACTTTTTGCAAGGAAACTGGATGAATTATGAATTAATATATATATATATATATATATATATATCGGTTTTAATGATAGTTTTTGATTGTCAGGGCCCTGTAATGTCTTCAGAATCGTAAAATTCAGTTGTAGAGTGTAAAGGTATTTTATAGTGACACGCCTTAAAATAGATCAAAGTAATATCACAAAATAGTTTTCAGACGTAGAAAACTTTCCAACCGTCTGCTTTTTAGTAGGTTATTTACCTTTTATGTTGACGTGTTTTTCTCGAATATTAAATGAAATTCCTTTACTATTTCTGCAATTGACTTGTTCTTCACACTACTAGATATTTCTGACAGATACTTCCTACAAACCCCCAATTTGGCACAGGGTACACATTCACGTTTCTTTCAAAAGGCACCAAAAATAACTTATATCCTGTCTCGTTTTTCTCCCTCCCCTCCTTCTTCCATCTACTTTCGCAAAAGAGCAGAACTATTTGGCATTCGAAGATGGCAACACCATAGAGATTCTGCAAGATATGAAAGTTCCTTAACTGCCTTTCTTAACCTCTAACAATGACATCCACCTCGTGCGCGCAACATTCTTTCTCTTGCGGCGCATTCCATCCAGACACAAAGCAACTCAACTCTTCCATGGGTGCGTGGTAAGACTCGAGGTTCTGGTGGGTTTGGCGGATGGAAGTTCTGGAGCCATCATCAAGGCGGCCAGCACAATGGAGAGAAGCACACACACAGAGCGATAGAGCAAACGCGAATAAAAAAAAGAACAAAGAATTGTTCTTTTACAACTCCACCCCGTTATCGACAAACTGGATCGACTCGAAAAACCCTCTCTCTCTCTCTCTTAAGAACTTCTTCTAAGGGATGGGCCTTTGCTAGGGTCGTTGACGTTGTTCTTCTAGCAACATTTTGGTCTGGATAAAAAAGGAAATAAGGAAAGGGGTGGTGAAGGATAATTTCCACCTTTCCATTCCAAAAAGTAAGAAAATCGCGGTCATTTTTTTTTCTTCCGATGGAAAAAAAAACTGACTGAAGGCATCAAATGTAAAAATACTGAATGGTCTTATAAGGGCTTCAAGAAAAGGCTTTTATTACCTTCTGCAGTAAGGATCCTAACTAGAGGGGAAAAAAGATATCGCATGAGCAAATCTCATCTGCCATTCATGTTCCTTTCATAAATTTTTTTATAGCATAAATAGTGTTTTTGGCATTTTCAGTTCAGGATTTTTTAGCAAGTCTTTGTTGAATGTTGATGCGCTTTATTAGGAAATCTCCCTTTAATATACAAAAATGTGACAATGGATCAAGATGCTAAGAAGACTTACAAACCAATTTTGCCAACAAGGCTTTGTTTACCTGTTGCTACAACGTTCATAACAAGAACGAAAAGATATGACATATGACGGCAATAATATGAGAGATATGCCAGACAATATACCATTCATATTTCTATATGCCATTCTCATTTATGTTTTTGCAAGTTTTATGGCAGTGTTGTTCGGAACAACTCTTTGTGCTTTTGTAAAGGTGTGATTTTAGAATCAACAATAATCTCTATTGCAGTGATTTGATAATGGCTATGAAATTCGAATATCCAGAACGTCAAATATCAAAGCCTTTATGAGTTATTTATTTGCTATTGTATATCTCAAAAAGGTGTTGATGGAGTTACGAAGTAGTCAGATGAAGCAGAAAAAATAATGTTGAAAAAAATAATTCTATCTAAATAATCACGCATTTCTATTCAGGATTTTTAACCGGTATGAAACCACGTATCATTGAAATTGCAATGGGAAATTGTAACACACTATATTTATGAGTTTGCGCTCTGCTGGTAGTGTCCTCATTAAATAGAATAATCCACCAATAAAAGAAAAAGTAAAAATATATAAGGTTCTACCAATAAGTTACCTCTCCATGACGTTGATTGTTACCTACTTGAAGCCCAATCTGAATTATTAACCTACAGCACCGTACTAGACTGAAAAGAAAATATAATGAACTTATTTCAAATCAAGTGATCCAAATTATATTTCATTTTGAAAACTTGTACCAACAAGCAATTTTCCAAATCTAGACGGTTTGGTTGTTAGATATTGTTGTAGTTGTGGATCACAACATATGTTTATGAACAAATGTTTTACATTTCGACCATAATAAAAACATAATATCACTCAAAATTAACTGATATACAACTAAAACAATTTAATTTGTTAGCATCTTCAAGAAATATTCCTAATGTAGATGACTCGGTAAAAAAACTACAAATTCAAAAGCTACATTAAGCAAATACTATTATTTAATTTTATTAATTTTAATTTTAAATTGCTATTTAATTTTAAATTGGAATTATATGCTTAAAGCACCTCCTTTTTATTATATGCCAAAAAAATTATGTTATAAATAAAGTAAAAAGTTTGTTATAGCAGTAAAACCTAAGTGTATTTATTATATTATTTTAAAATTTTTAAAGCTAGACTTGCATAAAAAAATATGCTATTTGTTTGAAAATCCCATGAGCCAATAAGTAAAATTGTTTCATCTTTTCTTATCTTTTTGTTTGTAATCAACCCCTCAAATAAAAAAGGTTGGCCACCCCTGATCTATATCAATAGAATCCTCAATCTCGCACGTGTGTCTGTTATAAAAATAACAACAATTGATATAATAAAGTTTTAGAGCACAGCGAAATTCAACATGCGGCCCACCGAGCCTTTTTAAGTGGCCCAGTCATGATCTATTGCTTGGAGAAATTCACTTATTTAAGAACAAAGTATTAAAAATTTGGTGGGAAATTCTTTGTCAAGAAATCAAATACTATATCAATTTTGCTTTTTGCTGTTGAAGTCGTATGGGTGCGAATTAATATTTTTTTTTCCGTTTGTAATGTTTACGGTTAGCGATAACAGACAACAGTGGAATAGCGACAATTTTATGGGTGGAACTAACTTTTAACTATCTTTCATATCTTGCAAGCAAAAAATGTTCGAAGAAAATATGCCGTTTCAAAATTATTGGGAGGTTGACTATTTTGTAGTAAAAAACAAACCTGGATCAGTAACTGTTTGATTTGTCACGAAAGTGCTGTATTTAAAAAATACCAATAAACAGAGATCACATTCAATGACACTTTTCCTCGGAGATCTCTTTGAAGAGGTAATAAATAGGCTTTTTCTTGAATAATCTTTGCAACAGCAACAAAGTGTTTTGTCAGTGGTAATGTCACAGTGGTAACAAAGACATCCTATGAAGTTTGTTATATTATTGATAATCATACGAAACCATTTACTAATGCAGAAATTGTGAAGGAGTGTTTCTTAAATGTGTATGCTTTTAATTAAGTGTTAGTGACAAAAATAAAAAATATAACAAATAATTAGAAAAAGCAAAACAGGAGTTATAATATTTGGATCAATTTTTCACATTTTAAATGTCCAATGTTATCTTGGTCTTAAAGAATTTCTCCCCTCCTTTTATATTCACGTTGCGGCCCGCGGGAAATAGCTAACATATGCATGCGGCCCAACAGAAAAAAAGGTTGAGTACCCCTGCTTTAGAGTCTCAATTCTTTTTTACTTGAAAAGAGGATTCTGATTTTTAAAGGTCCTTTCTTTTGGACAATTCTGTCTTCAAACATTCTTTCGAATCCGCTTTTTAACAGCCGAAAGCGCACCTGTTCACATCTAATCACAGAAGTTAAGCATCATCAAGATCGGTAAGTACTTAGGAGGGTGACCACCTGGGAACACTGCAATTCTATTGTATAGAAATAATCAAATTTGCGTAGCAATTGTGTGCTCACACACTTTGATATTATTGCTGTATTTATCAAGGGAGCAGCAGTTCATAATATATTTAAACTACCAGTTCCCAAAGGTGGATGAACAAGTGATTATTTATCTTTTTCTTACTGGATTTGTACCTTAGCAATTGAGAAACATGCTTGGGAAAAGGTTAAAGTTCTCATTATTCATGAAATTTCGATGGTGTTTTATCCAATGTTGACAGTGATAAATTCAACATATCATCAAATGTTGTAAGTTTACAAAAAAATCACCTCAAATTTCAAAGCGAAAAATGTAGTTGTAAAGCAGATAATAAATTTTAAATTTACCTTTTATATTGTGGTTGCTTTAGATTTAACATGAGTATAAAAATATTAAGAAATACAGTTTTTTTGTTGTGTTCAAGAAGTCATATAATCAGTTTATTTCGCATTTTTTAGTGCGAATCAAGCCTTTAGATTAAACTTTTTAAAGTATTTTATATAAAGTTTAAAAATAAGAAATATTTGTAAAAGATTTAACTAGCGGCACCCCCAATAAAAACAAACCCTAAATGTTCATTAAGAAAAAAAAATACTTATTTAGGATACACATTATTTTTCAAAAATAGGAATGAACTCGATAAGGGAGGTTGTGTATAAATCTATGAAGATAATAGGTGTTCAAAGACGGAATAAATCATATCCATATCCACCTTTCCTGATGTAAAACGAACCAAACCCAAAATACCGAACAAATCACAGTAATTAACACTCGCCAGGGTAATAGAGGGTGAGTAAAAAGAATAAAATAAAATAAAAGATTCGACCCCACACTTTCATTACAGAGAACACGAAAAAGCGTAAAAGTGAAGAATCGAAATGAAACGAAAAACAAGTGTCAGCGAAACGAACATTCTAAGAGGCCGTGTCGTCGGGCGGTTACAGCAACAGTCCTGGAACAACCGCCCATCAAGTGGCAAGTGCCCGGAATTACAAGTTCTGCCGGAATTAATGAGTTCACAAAGCGCTACAACTCCATCACCACGGTTCGTGTCGGTCGGCACTTGATGTGCACTCCTTCAAATAGTCGTCAGTCATGAAACACCATTTCGTCAGCAGACGATTTTTTTCCCCCTCCCTCCCTGCCTCTAGTAGCACCCCTCGTTTCTTTCTTTTTTATATTTCTTCTGCTCGGCAATTATAACAGAAGCCGAGGAAGAGTCCGGCAATGAAAGGGTGGCACGCGATCCTGCATGTCGGGGTCCGGCACAACGTGTTGACGGACCGATATTAATGGGAGCGCTTCGTGATTTTATTGGAACTTGAAGAGAACGAATGACACGCCGGCACGCTTAATTGAACGTTAGCAAGTGGCGAAATCAATTAGTGTCCCATTTCAATCAATGGACTCTCTGCAGTCCTAATAAATGATAGCGGCCATGTGATTTGTAATCAGCTTTTCATTGATTTTGGAGCCGACGCTAACGAGGAACAGACTCGGTTCTGATGGGGACATGAAGTGCTGTCCAAATTAATCATTCCACCCGCGATACTCCCGTCTATCTTCGCTTATGAATCTGGTTAATGAACGATCATTTGTTTTTATTATTGTGGGCGGAAGGGATGAGATTTGTTCCTTGTCGCCAAATACATAAATCATTCGGGGGTAAGATTTGTAGATTTTCTCAAACGCAAATTATGAGTTTCACTTAAGGTATCCGACTACGTTCGGAACCGTGATTTTAAAAAAGTGCATAAATGGATAATTTTCATGATATTTAGTGTCACAGATTAGAATACATGTATAAAATGGTTTTAAGGACATTATATGACAAAAAAATTATTTAAATACAATATTTTGTCAAAAAATTAATTTAGAATAAGCTTTTTTCAAAATATTCTCCTTTTATAAAAAATGCTTCTATAATAATATTTTGTGTGTGCTTATATGAAGTAAGGACCTCTCCAGAGAGTCTAAACTAGGATTTTTGAAAAATTCACATTATTTTCAGAGTTACCTCCAATTGAAATAATTATCGATGTTTTTTTCTTAAAATTTCTCTCCTCTGTTGTGGTAAAATATGGATAAATCTACTTCTAAGTTATCTATTTCAAAAATTCTAGTTCAGCCTCTGTACAGAGGTCTGAGCTATATACAAGTAAAATATTACTATAATAGAAGCATTTTTCATAAAAGGAGAATGTTTTGAAAATGGTCATTCTATGTTCCTTTTTTAGTCAAAATATTGTACTTAAATAATTGTTTTTATTGTAATAATATTCTTAAAAAATTTTATACAGGTTTTCTAATCTATATATAAGTGACGCTAAATATCATAAATAATATTCATTTATACGCTTTTGAAAAATCACGGTTCCGAACGTATTCGGATACCTTAAGAGCGACGTGTTGCTTTTAGATACTGAATTTAATAGTTTATTATAAACCATAATCTTTTTTTTGCATGGTGCTTTTTTACACGATTTTGTAATAACATGGTACACGAATTAAACGATTTATTATTTTTTTTTTTATTTTTATTTGCACGATTTTTTTGTTCTTGCACAAATTCCAAAAAAATCTGTGTACTTGTGCCCTTTGGATGAGGACAATATGACAGCTACTGATTATAAAGAAGTCGATACTGGCGAAGTCGAAAATGGAGTTCAGTTATTGATGGCTGATTTAATTCGAGAGGGTTTGAAATTTTCTACAAGTATGGAGCTACATTTTATTGCTACGATTCTGACCTAGAGTGAACATTTAAATTTCTACGTAATCTTGTGTAGCAGGATATTAAGAATTAAAAAGTGAGGAACTAAAAGGATTATATATACCGCTAATAAGATTTGTAACAACAACAACAAAAAAAAACAGACCATAAAAAAACGAACGAGATTCTTCATTTGAATCCAAACCGATAGTTGTGTTAAACATATCTGACATGTACTGATGATAGCATTTTTGATTCAGTTCTCAATAAACATGCACGAGTATTATCAAGTAGTGATGAATACTTCTTCTTTAGTAATGTTATTCCAAATTTCAGTTTGAATTTTTATATATTGGATGTACTTATAGACTGAATTTTCCCTGTACACTAATTTTAATTCTTTTCTTTTTAACAAAAATAAATTGTTTTGTTTTATAACTATGTAACATGGATTTTGTTATTACTTTTTTGCAGGTTTTTTTTTAAAATAAAATATTAAGGGACTTTCCATTTTGCACGATTTTTTAAAATTGTGTGTGGAACATATGCCCGAATTTACCATAAGTAACATATATTTTTCCCATGATTTTTTTTTTTGCACGGTTTTCAAAAGAACGTATCTACAGTGTAAAAAAAAAGTTGGGTATACTTGCTTTTAACTTGTATTCTTTTGACTTTGCTTTTTGCCATGTTGGCTTTCTTGAATGTAAGGTACTGCAGTTTTGTGTTCCGATATATTTTTGTGAATTCATCGATGAAGCCAAGATATTTCCTCCGATAAATGTTTCTAAAATATCATTACCTTCCTTGCTTTTTAAATAAATGCTTCGATTAGAGTTATTGAGATTCAATTTCGGATTTATAAATTTCAACACAAGCTAGTCGTTACTTTGAAGTATTTCTCATTATGTTCCCCGAAATAATTTCAATTTAATATCAAGTCAAATCAATTGATTTAAATAATTTTTATAAAATGGCATAATAATTCGTCAGTCTTTATATTTATTTTTCAAAAATTGCTATTGAATTTCTGTAGTTCAATTAAAGTAAAATTTGTTGAGTTCCGAAACGCAACGAAACTCGCCTTTTAAGAAGTATTTCATTTAAAAATTTCAGAATGCTTTGATTTCGCATTCTGTCAAAAGATTGGATGTAACATTGTAAGCTCTATTCATTAAAACATTGGTTGTTTCCTTGTGCGTAAAAAGGGAATTCATATTTGAAATATGTTTCATTATACCTTTTAAACAACAGTTAAAAATATCTTTATAATAAGGATAATGTTTACGTATATGTGTGTGTGTTTAAGACAACTTCAAAAGAACAAATATCCTACACAAAAAGTTATGCAAGGAACATAAAGAAGCTACATTATTGAAATGGATAGGTTGGAAAATTAAAACAGAGAGAGAAGCAAAAATGCATTAATACACCTTTACCAGGGGAAGGTAGCTACCGCTGTATCAGCCGTATCAATGATACGAGGCTCCCAAACAACAGGGGCTCCAACATAAAGTACAAATTTATATATAAGTACAAATATAAGTAAAAATTTGAAAAATGTTATCGATAGTCGCATTTACAAAGCTTCCATTTCTAAAAGAGGCCCCGAAAGAATTTTGATCCAGGGCCCACTCAGGACTTGCTACTCCAGTGACCTTAGCACAAATTCTTACGTATGTATATGTCTATTATCTCTTTTATGCGGGCTTTAACATTACATAGAGCGTATAGAAACGAAATACAGAGCACATATTCCACCAGAAAAATTAATTGGTTCCGATAAAAATGAGTAGTACAATACAATATGCTTCTCTTTATATTAGATAATAAATTCAGAATATATTACTGAAGGAGTATTTTTCTATTTGCAAAAATGTCTCGAAATTAGGTCCTTAGGCGAAAACAGTCTTAACCCTTTACCAAGTCGTGGTAAATATACTTCCCACTAAATTCATCAATCTAATATCTTTATTAATCATTTTCATCTGTCTAATTTGCTATTTATTTTACATATTGTAGTATTTACAAAAATATTTCATAAATTGGTTGTGTTTACTATGTACTGATTTCTGTTTTCACAAATTTCCTTGGAAATAATATGCAAAAATTCTTATTTTTATCATCATCACTTAAGAATATAAATTATAACTAATTCACAATTCCTTTTGAAGGTTGACATATTTTCAAAGTATATTTTTAAAATTTCATGTGGAGAGAGGTAAAAGGAAACAAGAGGTATACAAATGTCTTTCAAAAGAATATAGGG